TTGTTACCTTTAATAACTATATGCAAAAAGGAAATAAATTTGTATTAATTTTAACCTTTAATTGATAAAATTTATAGGGAAAAGGAATTCTTTCATAACAAGCAGCCGCGTCGGAAAGTTTCCCAGAGACTTCTAAATCTAAGATTCTTTCCTCCAAACTCGGCTCGGTATGTCTTAAAGCGGCGACTCCATTAACAGCGTCCGGTTCGTTTAATTGCGCGTAAATATACGACAAAAACGAGTAGTGGTGTTGAAATTTGTCTTGATTTTTCGATATATAATCCTCCAAATAAATTAAAGCTCTCGAATACTCCCCAGTTTGAAAACTACAACGGGCTAATTCCAATTTACAAAAACCCGATATCCAAGACTAAAATAATAATCAATAAAATAAACAAAAAGTTACAAACACAATTTTATTAACCTTAATACATTGATAATTCTCATCATTTCTACTAGAAGCGCCATTTTGCCACTCAAACTCCCTAATCCATCGATCTAAAAAGTCTAATAGTACAAATATCACTTTGATACATCGATTTTGATTGATTTTTTGCGAAACGGCCGTTGAAGATTTTGAGATGGACTCGATGGACATTCTTAATGGTCGGAGATTGGATAAATCGTCCGAGATGCGTTTGTGTTCGTTCATGGAGTTGATGACGGCAAAAAATTCTTCGTGCCATTTTTTTCTTATCTTTTGCTTGCCGTCTAATAAAGAATGAAGTAAAATATGGGGTAAAAAATGCATTTGTAATTTTTCGTCCTGCTTTATGCTGGGTAGGCAAACTTGTAAAAGTGGTCGTTTATCGGGATTTATTGTCATTATCATACTGACACTCCAACTAAAAATATAAATAAAATGATTAAAAAATAAATTAATACATTATTAGCACAACATTTAATAAATCAGCGAAGCCACCAAAATCAAATTTAAGAAAAAAAAAAAACAGAGAACCCAACCTGAACTCGCAAAACTCCTTCATTAAATTTAGCATGGAAACGTAAGCTGCAAAACACTTACCTTTATGGATATTTTGATCACTACGAAAAAAAAATGAGATCACAGAAGAGGTCAGTGATCCAAGCCTTATTTCAGCGATCAGAAAGGATATGTGACAAAATGAATATGAAGAAAGAAGAAACACAAATAGAGGGAAGACACCACAAATACTGGATCCTACTGTATCAGGATTTATCTGCCTTCTTTATGTTTCAGGTGGACACAGCGTTGCCAACCCTACCAATTTATCGGTAAATCTACCGATATATCACTTAATCTACCAATTTTCAAAATTTTAACAAAGTATTATGAAACACATTGTACTTAAAATCAATATAATTGCGACAATAATTGTACTTTATGAAAATACCCTACTGATTGCACAAAAGTATATATCATTTATTTATTTATTACATTCGGGATGCATACAAGGTTGACCCCCAACTAAGCATCCACAAGATACTCAGCTAAAAATTAATAACAAAAAACTTAAGAGTACAACAAAAAATAATATTCTAAATCAAAAAGAAAACAAAATCAAAAGTAACACTCCAACAAAAAATCAGAACGCATATACAAAATTATTGTTACAATATTATATAAATAAAAATATTCATTAACGGAGTAACAACGATCTCTCCACACCCACGCCCCGCAAGAAACGCTTGAAAACAGCCAAAGACACATTGAAGATGTCGATATTCCTACAGCAAGAGTCATGCGCATTCATCAATCTCACAAGAGGAGAGTAAAGATGTGCAGAAGACAAGGATCTACTAATTCTAAACAAATATTCACCACGTGTTTGATATGACGGTACATAAAAACATAATTCTCTTACCAATTCCGAGGAATTGAAAAGATTGTTAACTACTTTAAACAAGAATAATAAATCGTAGCACAGCCTCCTTTGCTTTAATGTCTGGAACCCTAGAGCTCTGCAACGCAAAAGATAATCACCGTAAGGTAAAAATGTTTTGTGAGCTAAATACCTCAAGAACTTCCGCTGTACGGATTCAATGCGGTTAATGTGAATTGATACATTGACATTGATATGGCAATGTCGCTCGAGCAACGTTGGCAGATCGTTGGTATATACACTACACGTCATAAGCTACAACTTTTGTGCTAAAAGATTTCTTTTAGTATGCTCCGATTCCCAAGTGTTACCTTTAATAACTTGAGAAAGCAACAAATTCATCAAATTTTCATGTTTTTGTATCTATCTCAATATTGACGTATCTAAGAGCAAAAGTGCAAGAGAGCAATATCTTTAACAATAAAATGTGCTACAATTTTTGTTATAAAAGTTTTGTTATAGCAAGCTCCGATTCTCAAGTGTTATCTTTAATAACTTGAAAAAGCAACAAATTCATCAAATTTTCATGTTTTTGTATCTATCTCAATATTGACGTATCCAAAAGCAAAAGTGCAAGAGAGCAATATCTTTAACAATAAAATGTGCTACAATTTTTGTTATAAAAGTTTTGTTATAGCAAGCTCCGATTCTCAAGTGTTATCTTTAATAACTTGAAAAAGCAACAAATTCATCAAATTTTCATGTTTTTGTATCTATCTCAATATTGACGTATCCAAAAGCAAAAGTGCAAGAGAGCAATATTTTTAACAATAAAATGTGCTACAATTTTTGTTATAAAAATTTTGTTATAGCAAGCTCCGATTCTCAATTGTTACCTTTAATAACTTGAAAGAGCAACAAATTCATAAAATTTTCCTATTTTCGTATCTATCTCGATATAGACTTATCTAAGAGCAAAAGTGCAAGAGAGCAATATTGTTAACAATAAAATTTGCAACAATTTTTGTTATAAAAGTTTTCTTATAGCAAGCTTCGATTCTCAAGTGTTACCTTTAATAACTTGAAAGAGCAACAAATTCATAAAATTTTCATATTTTCGTATCTATCTCGATAT